GGACTTCCTGGACGTCAGCGCGCTCTGCGGCGCAAGCATCTCGGGCATCATCACGGCCGCCGCTGCTATGGCCCCCTACGGCGCCGCCGTGCATGCCGCCTGCGCCAAGGGCGGCGTCCTGAAGAACCCCGAGAAGCAGAAGGCGATCAACTCGCTCTACAAAGTGCCGACTCCCCGGCGCTTGGAAGAGTTGAACGAGCTGAAGGCTGCCAACGTCCTGCAAGGGTTTGGTCAGGGGTCTTGAATCTTAGGTTGAGAGGGCTCACGCCTGTCGCCAGGATGCCATGGCAAATCTCAAGGGCCTTCGCCAGGAGTTGGAGGCCAAGCTCGGCTTCAATGCCTCGGTGCCGACTCTTTACTCCGAGGCGAACTTGGAGCAGATGGTCCAACTCATGGACGACGGGGTGGCCGGCGATGGGGAGACGTCCTCCATGCGCGGGGCCACGCAGGAGGAATGCGAAGAGTAATCGAATGAGAGCAACTTAGCTTCGTCAGCTTCGACCGGCTGGATGTTGGCAATGGCTACATTCAGCACACGGCTTGAGCATCCGGGGCTCGAGAGATATCAGTCAACGACTGTATCTCAAGCCCAGATGTTGTTTAGCCAAATTGACGATGACGCCATGGTGTCTGTGTGTGTGTCCGTTCTAACATAGTATGGCCCTGGATCAAGCGAATATTCACATGTGGCATGTGTGCAGCTTCCACGGTATTTGTGTACATATAGACTCAGACTAAATCACACACCGACATGCGCAGTTTCGTGTACTTATCTATGCACATGGGCATGTCTCTAGCGGTGCCTACACCAGGACCCAGCCTGATTCATCTCTTACGTGGTTCTACCCTTACGAACTGTTGTCAATTTCATTCGTTTTTCATAGCTATGTTTGCTTCTATCATCAGCATGTGTACGATGTCTGGTATTCTCCGCTCTATGGCTCTCTATGTGCACGCTATTGTTCCGTGGCTGCCAATGCCTGCATTCAACGCGTTTCCAGTGTAGAGTTTTGGTCGCCGTTGTTGCAGTAATGCTGCTTTTTCTCGACAATAGTCATGATACTTGCAGCCTGTTGGTATGAGAGTATGAGCAGCTTCAGTACCGTCTTGCTAGGCTTACTCTGGTTACTAATGGCACTTGTTCTGAGTTTTGATCACAGCACGACGAGCGCAGCAACTGCTTTTGCAAACACTGCTGCTGGTCATGATTCATGAGCAGCGCTGACTGGTGCTGTTGCGGCTCTCCCTGGCACCAGAAGACAACTCAAAGTTCTTGTGTCAACCGTTGTGCTTCGTGCAACTACTCCTGATGCCTCTAATGGTATTCAAATTCGTGGCATGGCTACAAGTGCTGGTATCATTGATGCGGCTTATGCTATGTGTAATGATAATGCCCTGATACCTCACATCGCTGTAGTTAGCTGTTGCTATCAAAATCGTAGCACCATGAATACTGCTGATACTTGAAACGCAGCGGATGTTACCACGACTTCTTGAACCACTAACTTTACCGGAGTTGCTAATATCAGGTCGCTGACATCGCTAATCGTGCCTGAGTCTTGCAATATGAGTTTTGA